CCATGTTAATAAGTCTTAGCATTAAAAACAAGTTGGGATTTATTAATGGAACCATACTTATACCAGGTGAATCTGATTCTAAATATATGTTATGACAACGATGTAATGATATGGTTTTTTCTTGAATTCTTAACTCCTGAAACCAAGAGCTTGCTAATAGTGTTCTCTATATTGAAACCCCCTCTAAAATCTGGTTCAATCTACAAGAATGATTCTTATAAGGTGATTTTTCTCATCATTATCAAGTTCAGCATTTCATTGTAGAATTGCAGCAAAATCAAGATTCAATTTTCTCATATTACACCAAGATAAAAACATTATGGGATGAATTAAAAATGAGTAGTCCAGTCATTCAATGCATGTGTGGTGGAATGAAACAATTATCAAACAACGAAGAAAATATGAGACTTGGTCAATTTTTTATGGGATTAAGTGAGAGCTATTAAGCTATTAGAGGGCAAATCATGCTCATGTATACTGCGTACCTTTGATGGAACCAGATGATGAAGGTGGCGATGGTTTGAGATATGTCACGTGGTTGCAAACCTAATCACGTAAAGCACGAAGAGGACTTTGATGTCATTGAGAACAACATAAAGGTCGCACTGGAGTGATGGAAGAAGGGTGTTGAACAAGGCTTACAGGAATGGGTGGAGCAAAGGTGGAAGTGGCTGAAGGCAGAGAAATCTGGCAAGGTCAGGTTAAAAGGGGTGACGGAATCGACCAATTCTAATTGTATGGTGGAGATGGTGGGGAATGTGTCAGAAAGAGGATGGTCATAAATAAAATGAAGAAGGACATGTATAGAGGGTGTAGGAATGGATGGAGGGGACTCAAAAAGAAAAATATATTCATGAAAAAGAATATCACATCAAGTTAACATATCAATTTGATGACCTAGATTATGAGACTATGATAACCATATAAAAACACAAATAAAAACAAATTATGAAGCATAATTCCTTATTAACCAAATATTGAAGAATAAAATTAAAAAAATCAATTAAAAAGGGGCCTAAAAAGAAAACTAAGTTAATTTATTAAACTCGCGATCAGAGTTACAAGACTGAGAAAAGCCTATAAAAAACAGATTAAAACAAATTATAAAATCTAATTCCTAATCAACTTGATGATAATGGATATAATTAAAAAAACCAATTAAAAAATAACATAAAAATTACTTAAGTCCATGTGTCGAAGTTACAACTTGGATAAAAGAAGAAGAAGATAATGTGCAGAATTAGATCAAAAGTTACATGGAAAAGGCCATCAAAATCTACTCTAAATAAACAAAAGGGACATAAACTAATTATTTTTTGAAAATAAACCATTCAACTTGATAGAGAGATAAAACTCATTGAGAATACCCTTCATTTTTGCATTTTAAGCTTTGATTTTTTTTTTTCATTCAAGAATTGTTTATGATATTTATCGTATGAAATGACCATGTTTTAGTTTGTTTACACACATACGCACACATTTAATTTGTTTGAGTACAAACTTGTTATATAATTAATTGTTTTATTATTAACCAATTATTTTATGATGTTCAATGAATGATTAATGATATACTTTTGATGATTGGATAGTTGTTTTTATTCAGTTTTAGAAGTTCATATAAGTCATTATGATATTGCTTGTGATTTAAATGAGCTTTTAGATTGATAAAAATAAAATATGTGCATATTTGTATGTTAACAATAGGTTATAGATTTTGATTTCTATGTATTTTAATGTTTACATATTTATTGTTGTTTTTTAAATTTTAAAAATGTAAACATGAGTGTATGTGACCTGCATGAATAAGTTTTAGACATTTGTTTTTTGGTTTGGATGTATTTTTTTGGGTTTTAGCCTTTGATGGATGTTTCTATGTTTTTGGAATAACATTTATCAATTGAACTTTATTTTAGGTCATGGATTTTTATGCCATTTTAATCAATTTATGGTTCTTATATGTGCGTGAATGCTTTTTAATCATTAATCTAGGGTTTTTATAGTTTAGAAACAATGAAATTATAGCATATGATCTTCATTTCTTCATTTTATAGTTTTCCCCAAAATCAATCATGACAATTAGGTATTTATTATGATGTTTTATTCATAGATTTTTGTATAAACATTGGTTTTGCATGTTTTTGTGCTTTTGGTGTCATGTAATATGGTTTTTTTTTTAATCACAAAGCTAGGTTTATTCTTGTTTTTTTTTTGTCAGATTTAAGATAAACTTTTTAATCATTAATCTAGGGTTTTTATGGTTTAAAAACATTGAAATTATGGTATTTGATCTTTGTTTCCTTCATTTTATAATTTGCCCCAAAATCAATCGTGATGATTGGGTGTTTATTATGATGATTCATTCTTAAATATTTTAATAAACATTGATTTTGCATGTTTATGTGCCTTTAATGAGATGTAATATGGTCTTTTTTTGGAATCATGTAGCTAGGTTTGTTCATGTTCAAGCCAAAAAACCTTGTTTAATCTTTAAAATTTTATTTCTTGTTTCTTGGCTTTGTTTTGTGAGTTTGGGTTCTTAGGGTTATTAAGCCCAACTTACATGGCTTGACCGACCCCCCTCCATAGCCATAAGGCTATGTTCGGAGTATATTATTTTTATCAAAGGTAAAATGTATTTTATTGTCTTAAAAGGTATGTTTGTCAAACATGATCTTAAAATATTTTTTAAGTTTCTTATTTTTAATTAAATGTATATTTGACAAATATATTTTATTGACTTTCCAGCAGTGTTTTTTTTTTTTTATGTTTTTACCAAACAAACTTTAAATAATTTTTAAAAAAATATAAACACATTGAGGTACCCTTTTAAATTTATTTTTAGGTCCCTCGCATGTTTTCCAATAATTTTATTTAATTATTTGAGCTTGAAACTTACACTAAAAGATATCGACCCAATCTTAAATATATTTTTTTTATTTAAGACTTCAAAAAAATAAAAAAATTTAAAAATATACAAAAATATATTTTTATTTATGTATATATAACCAAATTCTAAAAATTTCTTGCATTTTCATTTTTATCATACTTGAAAAAATACAAAAACAATTCAATTAATGTGTATTATAACAAGTTTGTGATTATCCATTAAGATTTGATCAAAAATTCAAAAATAATATAAAAATCATTTTGCTTAAATTTAGATTTTTTTTTATCTTAGAATGGTTAGGTTTTTAACTTAATAGTATAAGGATTTTTTATTGAAATGAATTTTTATTAAATTTTGATTTTGTAAGTTCAAAAGTAACTCAAATAACCCGTAAAAACATAATTTGACTTATAAAAATTTTCAAGATGATTTTTTTTAATATTAAGATAACAATATATGAGATTGATTTAGGTTAAGTCAAGTTAACATATCAATTTGATGACCTAGATTATGAGACTATGATAACCATATAAAAACACAAATAAAAACAAATTATGAAGCATAATTCCTTATTAACCAAATATTGAAGAATAAAATTAAAAAAAATCAATTAAAAAAAAAGCCTAAAAAGCAAATTAAGTTAATCTATTAAACTCACGATCAGAGTTATAAGACTGAGAAAAGCCTATAAAAAACATATTAAAACAAATTATAAATATACTAAAAGTAATGTTTTTTCTTATAATCTTTTATTGAAATGAATTTTTATTAAATTTTAGATAGATAAATGAATAAAAATATAATCTTAATAATAATAATTAATTAATAATATAGCTTATCAATATACTAAAAGTAATGTTTTTTCTTTTTATATAATTAGTTTTCTTATCTAAATTCTCACAAATTACTAAATTTTTTAATAATTATTATATTAGATAAATACTACCAAACCTTTCAAATTATAATTTTATCATTTATCTTAATACATCCAAAACCTTCTCATCCAATAGGTATATCTGTCATCCACAGCCGACAATTAAACTGCACCCAAGTACTAAATTTCTGTTGAACTTAGAAATAATATAAAAATCATTTTGCTTAAATTTGAAAATTTTTTTTAAACTTAGAATGGTTAGAATTTTTACTTAATAATACAAACATTTCTTTATTGAGATGATTTTTTTTTAAATTTTAAATAAATTAAAAAATAAAAACATAGCCTTTTAAAAAAAATCAATTAATAATACAATTTATTATATATATAAAAAATATTAAAAGTGATATATTTTCTCTATATAATTAGTTTTTACATCCAAATCTTTATAAATTACTTAGATTTTTTAATGGTTATTATATTATCTAAACCTTTCAAATTATAATTTTATCATCTATCTTGATACATCCAAAACCTTCTCATCCAATAGTTATATATGTCACCCTAGGCCGACAATTAAACTGCACCCAAGTACTAAATTTCTGTTGAAGTCAAGTGATAAATAGTTAGTAAATAAAGAAATAAAACTTGACGGTCCAAGATTTAAACCCGGATCTTTGCTCACCAAATCTAAAGTCGGTATCGCAGTTCTTAGTAAACTTCTACTAACATAATGTCTATATAAATATATATTACACTGCTTGCTGTAGGTGTCTCATGTGTTTCTTTCATATTTATGACATGTCAATTTCTAATTAGAAGTGCTTGAAATTTCTGTTGCAAGGGTTAGGTTGGGCCTATACTGGGCTGAACATACTTGGACCCTCTCGTCTTCAAAACAGACTTGGGCCTAAAGACCACGATTAATCCAGTCGAGGCTGCATCAAATCAATCCCCGCTGTGGCGCTTGCTGGATTCCACTCAGCAACAGAATATAAACGGATAAATTCGACTCAGTAAATAAATAAATTAGTAAACAAAAGCAACTTGGATCAATCAATATTGTATTTTTTACTGTATTTTAAAAATATCTTTATTAATAAATTAATATTTTTACAATGATCTGATGTACAATATAAAAATAAAAATGTTTTTCTAAAAAATTATTTTACTACAAATCTAAAAAAATAATATACTTTTAAAAATCACCAGATTAAGACGCTATAAATTTCCTCCCCCCTCCCTTTTTCTTCAACTCTCTCTCTCTTTCTCACCCAAAGAGCTTACAATAGTAAGACACCGACAGTTGCAGCCAGATCGCGCTCTAAAAGATCTTGAGACCTAACTTTTCTCAATTTCTCGATCTACCTCAACTCTCAGGTAACTTTGTGATTTATATTGCATTAAAAATGAAAATTGCCGAATTAATGAATATGAAATGATAACTGGGATGCTATAGAAGAGGTGTTGTTTAAATGCGATCAGAAATGCCGCATTTAATTGACCTATTACAGTTTGATTTCAGGCCCTCTTGTCTTAGATTGAATTTAAGATAATAATGTCAAGGAGGCCAGGGAATCCTGCTAGACGTTATGCTGATGGGGGGAGTCTTCCTTTTGCTGGTTCAATGCATTCTAAATCACGTTCATCGCCGCTACTATCCGTTGGCCTTCTTGTTGTGGTTGCTCTTCTCAACTCTTGTGATTTGCATTTTCGTTGGGATGCTGAGTTTGTAATCAAGTACGTTGCTTTACTGTGGAAACTGCTGATTCATTTCCTTTTTTTTTCCTTGTTGATTTCAGGGCGCAATCCTTCTCATTGGATATCTTTACAGTGGTTCAGGTATGTGGTTTCTCTACCAACTTTGATCTGTTTCGTCTGATGCTAATTCACTGCAGGATCTGGTTTAAGTAAACTAGATGCATCAACTCTGTTTCGTCTGCTAATACAAATAGTAGCTATATCTTTTTGTGGATGCAAAGAAGGGAAAACAGTTAATATTTAATATTAAACAAAAAGCCAAGGAAAGAGAACTGTCTGTGATGTGTTTCTTGTTTCCTTTTGCTGACATTGATTTTAATAAATGCAGGCAAATGATGTTGAATTGGAGAGTTTTATTTGTTTCAGTACTATTTTTAGTGAATTTGTTATGGTTGTGTGACAGGTGGGCGTACCAGCGATAGAGAAGCTTTAGGCAATGCAGAAGGTAAATTTGTATGATATCTTTATGTGTGTATTTTTGAGTTGTTTGGGTCCATTAGATTAACTAACATATTGGACCATGTAACCGTGCCCAATTACTTGTGTGTGGGTTTTTCGTACATTTCTGTTCTATTTTTTGGGGGAATGGGAATTTATTTAATTTTATCATCCAAAAAAAAAAAAATCATATAAACCAAGGCGGCTGAGAGCTCCTGGATTTTTTTTTATGGTAGACGTTAGACGTAGTCTATTTTTGCACCGCTTCAATATAAATTCTGAGTTGAGCGTATTTCTTACGTAAACAATGGCTCAAATCTTCAGCTTCTTGATTGTGATATAATTTCATTAGCTGTCTTTATTATCTTTGACCTGTATGTCCATGTTATCTTTCTTATTGTGACCAAGAGTTATTGGGAGCTCTGAGCACCTGAAAATACTTGGGGCGGGTGCGGGCCCCAGCTTTGCCTCTGAACTAGACTTTGCACATTTATCTTTGTTCTCAATGTTTCCTATGTGGAGCATTGAAGACTATTAAGAAAGTTTTTGAGCCTGCACATCTTATATTTTAAGCATTTGCATTCTCTTGTCTAGAAAAGTATTGCCAGTGTGAACATTTCTGGGCTAAACAATTCAGCAATCTGAGATTTGGATATGCATATTCAGGTGGTGTTTCATGCACATCAGAAGTCCAAAGAGCGATACCTATTCTGAAGAAGGCTCATGGTGACAGCATGCGTAAAGTGTTGCATGTTGGCCCTGACACTTGCTTAGCAGTATCAAGCTTATTAAAAGAAGAGGATACCGAGGCCTGGGGTGTGGAACCATATGACTTAGATGATGTGAGTGCCAGCTGCAAGGGTCTTGTGCGCAAAGGCCTTGTTCGTGTGGCTGACATCAAATTTCCTTTGCCCTACCGGGCAAAATCATTCTCTCTTGTTGTAGTGTCGGACGCTTTGGATTATTTGTCTCCGAAGTATCTCAACAAAACTCTTCCAGAATTGGCGAGAGTGTCAGCTGATGGCTTAGTTATATTTTCTGGTATTTGGTTATGTTGCATATTTTTGTTTTATGTTGTTAGTCTCCACTGCATGAATTCTTGCATATCAAATCCAAGCTAAAAACTTTTCTAATTTGTTGTGGCATTTTGAACAGCAGAAGCTTAAACCACATTCACCTTGCTTATAACCCAAACTAGTCACAGCCTTGCTGCTAGTAAGGATTGAACTTAAGAGAGAGGAATTGCAACTTTAGTCCTCTTTCTCTTTATCACCATTGCTCTTCCCATGCCAAGAAAGATGCATTTATGATAAAGAGTCAAAACTGACCGTTCTTTATTTCTTAATCAGTGATTAGAAGAGCATTTATGATAAAGAGTCAAAACTGATCGTTCTTTATTTCTTAATCAGTGATTAGAAGAGTGATTTCCTTGGAAATTGTAATTATTTGTTCTGCCATGTCATTAACAGACATGCAAGAAGTTTCTGTTTATATTGCCAGTGATCCATTTTTGTTTGAGATTTTCTGTCTTTCGAAATAATTAATCTTCTGATTTGATTGCTGATCTCCTTTTTCTTTCTACAGGCCATCCAGGTCAGCAAAGAGTTAAAGTTGCAGAAATGTCGAAGTTTGGTCGTCCAGTAAGTGGGCAATGTTTCATTACTGTTCTGATTTTACTTTAGAGATTTTCTCTGGACATTGAGGTGTCATTTTATGCCAATTCTGATTTTTTTTTCTTAGATTTTAGTCTGTTGGATGAGCATTCTATCTATGCCTTTGGGGCTTTCTGTCATTTGTTGTTGAGAGGCTTTGCTTATTTCCATCAAGGGAGAAAATGAAAACTCTGATCATGTCTAGGATAAAATCGATGCTTTCATTTGAATCTTTATATTGCGCTCATGGCTTGCTTGCACTAATCTTCATTGCCTCCCACAGATTTTTTTTTCCTTTTATCGATTAGAGAAACTGAGATTCTAGTCTTAAAGAGATACTAACTAAATTCCTATTCGCTTGTACTAATCTTCGTTGCCTCACAGATTTTTTTTTTCCTTTTTTCCTTTTATCGATTACAGAAACTGAGATTCTAATCTTAAAGAGATACTAACTAAATTCCTATTTTTGTGAAGGCCAAATTTCGGAGCTCATCCTGGTGGATAAGGTACTTTGTTCAGATTGGTTTACAAGTGAATGAACCCGCCATAAAGAAGTTTGAGCAGGCTTCGTTGAAGAAGTCATACAAGCCAGCCTGCCAAGTTTTCCACCTCCAGTCACACGATTGAAAGTATTGATGTTTCAACAACTTCCATTGCTCTTTCTGCGAAATGGCAGCAAACCACGGCCAATGATAAGCTATGTCGTGGAATACGTTCTCTTTCTTCCTTACCTTGATAACAGTAGATCTCCTTTATCATTATTTATCGAGAAAAGTAAAGCATGTATGGATTCACTTACACTATTCTCTATAAGATAAGTTTTTGTACCCTCCCGCTGTATTGCTTGCATTTACCTTCTGTTATTATATCTAGACCCGTCCTTTATTTTGATCACAGAACATATCTCAAATGTCATTACAATGATAAAATCAGTATGGAAAACCTGTAATTTATATGTTCCACGGTTCATTTTCTTGACGATTATTATTGAAAATGTTTTGAAGGCAAGAACCTTTGACGGTGTCTTAGAGAAGACGCAAGATGTGTTTGTGTTATACGCCGAGTTCCACTACGTGGATTTCAACGAGTTCCAGACTCTTAGGTGCTGTTATGGAATAACGGGAATGATAAGAAAAATAATTTTAATCTTTAATAAGACAAGACGGCTTTATTTTTCATATTAAAAACAGTAAGATCAGTATTGTAGTAAGAGTTGCTAATAGGAGAAGCAAATACAAGGTACATTCTGGAGCTGGTCCAATACCCAGAACAGCTCCACTTCCCATATGCAAAGGCCCAAGGTACAATGTTCCCATCCCACGGGGAGGCACCTGTTCCAGTCCAGAAAAGAAATTCTCTTACCCTTTTATTTTATCATGTGCATGGCAATAAGTTTTAGCAAGAACAAAAAGATGAAACAGAGGGTAGAATTAACAATAACACCCAACGCTCGTTTGCAAGGGCATAAACTGCTCCGTTAATGGTGGTTGCAGCAGCAGTCTCTCCGCTCCCATTTGCAAGCGTCGAGCATTCTCTTCTGGCCTAAAGATCATGAGTCTATCATCTTCTCTCCCGTATTCTTTCATCCCTTCAAACAATCCCTATAACCGAGAAACTAACTCGCGTTCGTTATTAATTATTGAAGAGAATTGAATCACTCTCTCAACAGCACTGCCAACATGATTAACGGTGGCGGTGCAAGTTCATCAGAGCACCAGTTAAGCATTTTTTGAATATATTTATTAGACCATTTATGTTAAAAGAACGAAAATCAAATATTCAAATAAAAAACAATGATATTAAGTAAATACATTAAACAATTTCTTAAGTAAATACATTGAACATCATTGGTTTTTATTCATTTTAAACCCAACTCAACTATAAATAAGATCTAATAAATACTTTTAGATAATTCCTTCAAGGCATTGAATTGCCTTCTCCATATAGATATTGCTTTTCATTAAAAAAACAGACATGGTAGCATACATTGCCCATAAATGGCGAAGAATATTAGATAGACTCAAAACAACCCATCATAAGAAAACCAAGCTCTTTACACTACAATAAATGATTAATTAAAGAATAAACAACAGCCTTTTTCCTTGAAAATGTCAAGCAAGTGAACCTGAAAACATGATTTGTAGTATCATAAACCTCCTACTAAATGTTTGCCTGCAACAGTGAAGGAAGTTTTTTTTAATTAATGAGGTCCGCTCGAATCGTTCTATTCGCTGGCGAGGAAGATTGAGGGTGTGTTTGGTGTTGGAGTTGTTGTTGTGGTTGTGATTTGAAAAAAATTGTTTTATAAAAAGTATTTTTAATTGAGGTTGGTTTGAAAAAATATATATTTGGTTAAAATTATGGTTAAAATTAAGGTTGAACAAAAATTAATTTAATGTGTTTGGTTAAAATAATGTTTTTCAAATTGAGTTTATAATATATATATATATATTTCCATATGCTTCATCTCCAGCACGGGTAAACTTCTTCTCTTTCCCAGTCATAACAATTGACACTGTACATATAAGTGAACAGTCTTTTTACAAAAGTGAACAGCTTATTGTGTATGGAGGCAGAGAGAAGTAGCATAAAACTGCTATTTACTGACCTGCGTTCAAAACATAAAACATGGTGGGTCCCTCATAAAATAATTCACGTTTCCCAGTTACCAAACATTTGTTTTCTGTGGTTTGCTTCAAAAACAAAAGCAACCACAGAAACAAACACCCACTGATAGCGGAGCCCATCATCAATAGGCCAAGCGCTTGAAGTTTAACCTCGTCTATTTATATCTCATTTTTTTTTTAATGTGATTGTAATATTGTTTTATTTTTTTGTTAGGTTAAAATTAACTTAAAATTTTATATATTTTGTTAATATGTATTATTTTTATTATATATAAATATTAATTTTTTTTAATTTAGAGTTGTATTTTTACTTGATATAAAAAAATATATTAATAATATTTATACATTAATTTTTTTGCGTTATAAAAAATTATTCAACATACAGTGAGTGAGGTGGGTTGAAAATATAGGGACTTTATCACTTTAATTTTTATATTCATAGTAAAGATAATTCTTGATATATTTAAATAAATACATGTAGGACTTTAAATTTATAATTAAAAAAATACACTTGAAAAATTTGAATATTGTTTTTTGTTAAAAAAATTAACCCAATTTAAATTAGGCTAAGTTAAATAACTAGTTTCAAACAGAAAAACTCAACTTCAAAAAAAAGAAATTACTATCAGATTCCGGCAGAAAGAAAACGTTCAAAATTAAGTTTATTGTAGCACAAGAGCATTCATGATAACTACAAAGACTTGGAAAGTTAAAAATCACAGAAGTTATAAACTGTCACGAGTTAGAAATTAACACATTAAAATTATAAAAATACATTAAAAGAAAATTAATTTGAAGTATTTTTTTTAATTTTAATACAAATTAAGTTGAAATTTACTACCAAACAGGGTCTCTCTCCCTTCCAAAGAAGTGAAAATAACCAAACTAAATATGAGAAAAAAGAAGCAATTATTTCTCTGATAAAAAGGCTGAATAGGTTTTGAGCTGTTATTAAACGACAAAGAAACAAGTCGTGTAAGACGACCATTTCCCACATATAGGATTTGAAAAAACTCTGTATATTACCTATTGGGGGCTCTGTCTCTTGAATTTGTCAATTAGAGCCATAAAAAAATTAGTTGCTATTAATAAGAGCAGGATGGATACGCACCCAAAAAGGTCATTTTCAATTTAGTAACCTAAATTGATATCTTTGAACCAGATTTATTACAGGAATTGTTTCTGAAAATATTAATTTTTCAAAGTGTTTTTTTAATTAAAAATATATTTTTTATTTTTATAAAATTTAAATTTTTAGCAACCCCCATTTTGGTCTACAATGTCAGCTTATTACTATGGGCTAACTCCTTGGGCTGAATCAACTTTGGGTCTTTCGAATGGTCCCCAGGCAAGGACATGCTGGACTGTAGGCCCACCATTGGTTCGACAAAGAAGGTTGGGATTCTGTCCATTTCTGGGCCCAAATTTGAAAGGTTTGTTTTCTCTGCCAAATTGGGCTAATGCTTTTTTATTCTTTTTTTTTTTTGGCACGGAGCGGATGCAAAAGTTTCTTCAGTGTCGAAGTTTCCCGGAAAACATGAATTTAGACCTAAAAAAAAACATGAATTTAGACCTAACAAGATGAGCGCAGCAAGACTTCAAAGGCCTCCTTTATGAAGACAATGGATTCCTATTCTCTTTTGGCTGCTGAAAATCTTGCTATGATACCGTGAATTTGGTTTCAGAAGCAACAATTTCTCGCAGGTTTCAACCTCGTATTTATAACTTCATATATATAACTATGTCAAGCATTTTTGGAAAGATTATTTGATCATCTTTGCTGGATCTATTAGGCTTGAAACCGTGATAGCTTTTATTTTTATATATTTTTTAAAAAATATATTTGGAATTTTTCAATAATTTTGATATATTAATGTTTAGAGTAAAATCAAAAATATTAAATAATATTTTAATATATTTTTAAATAAAAATAAATTTTAAAATATACCCCAAAGACACCCCCACACACGAAAAGTTTGTACATGTTATCCCAGATGCAATGCACCATGACACAAGCATTAAAAAGCCGAATAGTCAAGAGTCCAAGTCAATTCATAAGAGAAAAAATAAAATAAAAATAGCGGTAGTGATGGGGAAGAATAATATTGAAGTTATCTAGAAATAGAACGAATTAATATATATATATATATATATATATATTAACTTGGTTAAATAAATGCCTTAATTTGATACAGAGGGATTCTTAAAATCTGGTAAAAGAAGCATGCATGGTCATGAATATTCCAAGACTATTTGCTAGCTATCCGAAGTTTATATTCGGAGAGGATTTGAAGTTAGTAATTAAAAAAACAAATTAAATCGCATGAAACAAATTAAAAAAAAAAAACAAAAAAAACAGTGGAAGTTTGTATAAGAACATCAACGCAGTACAATTTAGCGCAATTAAATAAATTATTAACAGCAGAATTGGAGTCGTTTTAGCATTAATTATAGTGGTGGTAGTGGTGAGTGTTGTTGAAATTATATTTCATTTCAACTATAATTTTAGAAGTATTAATTAATACATGTTATAATTTACAAGAATTTCACCAAAATTGTTTTTCCAACCCCTCTCTTAATAATCTATATAATTTTAGCTAAAATAATATAATAACTGAAATCTTAACCCCTTTTAATTTTATTTATTTTCCTCCGTCGCAGCCCTTGCAATCAGCTATGCACAATGATGTTTATGACAAACCTGAAGAAATACCAGTAGCATTGGCCTTAGGATTAGAGGATTGATTCGTTTCTTTATTGTTCATAATAGATAATATTTGCTGAAATTGTATATCAGAAAGTCCATTCATCACAGACTGTATTTCCTGTAGTGCTAGTCCTTCTTTAACATGATTAGCTGAAGACTAAGCAGAATTTTCAAGCTGAGAACGACCATCTCTACGATTGAATCGAGTAGATTTATGTTTTGGTTGACCTAGTGGATACCCATGCAACTTTCAACATGTGTCTCATACATGATGATCATTGTCACAACATGAGCAGTGCAATGACTTGCAATTAGAAGAGTTGGAGCGAAAATAACCTTGTCCTATTCCAAGAGCCAGGGCTGTGGGTTCATTTATTTGAACTGTCATGGCTGCATTTTCAATTATCTCGCGTATGTCGCATAAGCTGCACTGCTTTTCTTCTTGAAGAATGGAAGAGTAAGCCTGGCGAACATCAGGTAACGAATTCATCAATAAGAT